GGATGAATGAGTGAGCCTGGAACAGAAGCAAAGTTGGAAAGCCTGGAATCCTCAGCTGCCATTGTTCAGGCAGCTTGGGGCCCATGGGGAGGTCAGACTTGCCACCTTGGTGCCCTGTGTTCATTGTGAGAGCCTGGGCTGACTCTGCTCTGTCTATTTTCATGGGATTTCCCTAATGGGGAAAACAGGAACGGATTGAGTGTTGGCATTTTTGCTGGTCCACAGCCTGCATCAGCAAGTATGTTCAGCCTGGAGGGAAATGATGCCCTTCTCTGTACTTCAGTTTTCTCTTGGACAAAGCAAGGAAGATAATGCTGCCTCAAGATAAAACAATGATCTACCTGCTGCACTTGGATTGAACCATGCCTTTTGGAAGTGTCTGGGGACTGTTGGTTATTACTTCCAGGAAGTAACTCTACAATGAATATTCTGGAATTCTCTGTGATGCCAACAAAATTGAGAAAAGTGTATCCACACCAAAATAACAAATATGGCACACCAGTTGTGCACTCACTCTGCACCTCTTCAGGGAAGCTATCATGGTAGCTCAGTCAGATTTTGACTGTGTTGATTGTAAATTATTTCTGTGTGGAACTCAACATTTAATAGGGTTTGTTGAGTTTCCCCCCTTTAGTTTTCTCTTTAATAGCATATTCTGTTTAAAACATTTCAACTAGAAGTATAACAAAGATAAAATGCATCTTCCATGTTTAAAAAATGAACCGATTTAGGGCCATTCTGAAGGGAGAGGCAAGGCTGAAACCAATCTAGCCTGCAGGCATTACCACCTTGTACTGGGAAGGCAAGAACACTCCCAGGCCTGTGAGGAGTGGATAATTTCCTATAGATCCTGGGCCTCCCACAGGTGGGCACCACCTGGGGATACAGTGGGCAGTACTCTTGTCACCAGGTGAGTTAGCTTCCAGAGGCATTTGGTTCTGCACTCTGGGGATGCCCCACTAGATATTCCCAATGATGAGGCACCTTCCAGGGGCATCTGGCTCTGCTCCCCGAGAATGATGCACTAAGTGTTCCCAAAGAACAAAGCTATTGGATAATGGAGACTGTAGAAACACTACTGAACATCCTAACAAGGCATCCCCAGGCAGAAATACTTCTTTAGAATCCAGCACCCTTGTAAGAGTAAGGGTTCGCCTGGTCTAATCCATGGCCCAGGTTTAGTGGGACAGTGGGGCCCGCTGGCAAAAATTGAAGTAAACAGAGCCAGCTTACAAGCAGTGAGACATATTATGATTTCTCAAAAGGTAAGAGGAGGGAAGGTTAGAGTTAATTGTAAGTTACCAGTGAGGTACGCCAACAAGAAGCATGCAAATGTTCACTTGGCAAAATACCACGAGGGTCACATCCTCACCTGAATCACTAAGCACATCCATAGGAGTACAAGGGCCGTACACACTCGAGAAAAGCACCTCTGAGCAGGTCTCACGGTAACAGGCTGGAAATGTGTTTGCCACCAATAGCAGGAGTGTCCAGTGGTGGCCTTCCGGCTCACACAGCTCTCCAGAGTACCCTGTTCCATGCTTCATCCCAGCAGAGAGGCAGGTTTATAAATTACATAGCAGTGACATCACAAGTTTTCTCAACTTCATTGCATGACTAGTCTTTTGAGGAACTGCTTAATACTAGTAAAAGGGGTCCTTTGACATAGAGACAGTAAAAATGAACCAGGGCCACACATTTCAAGCACACACACTCCTGCCCTGTTAAGGCCACAAAGGGATGGAGGTGTCCTGGGTGATCAATAGCTTCAGAGAATGACCAAGCTGCCACTTCTGAAACAAAGACAAAAGCAGGTCTCTACTGACATGCTGGAGTAGGCTAAAGTCTAGTCATTCCTACTGGCCAGGGGCAAGCTTCCAAACAATGCTTCTTCTTGTGAAGGACTTGACCGTCAGGTGGCCACAGTCAACTTGTCTTTAGCGTGCTTGTGGAGTTCTCACGCATCTGGTGTCATCATTCTGTGCAAAGCCTCCCAGCTTTGTACTTGGAGGACTAAGAATTGGTCAATGTTGCTCAGAAGCTGCTAGGTTACTCTTACATCAGTGTCATCATCCTGCATAGATGTCCTGGCCTTGTGATAGGGCTGAAGGACCTTCAGTGCACGAACTGCTGAAAAAGCACAAGAGCGGGCCAAAAGAAGCACATACCAGCTTTGGTGGGCAACAGGCCAAGCTCAACCTATGTCTTAGTCTCAGAAGAAACATTTCCTAACTGATCATCATGTCTGTGTTCAGAGCTGAGTAGGTTTTCACACAAGGATTATGACAGCAAAGGGGACAGAAACTGTGTGAAGACAGGTATGCCAAGATTTTTATCTCATCTTAGTCATCCCTCGGATGTCTGCAGGCCCAAAGGAATACTGTGTTATGAGCAAAAGTGGTCTTCAGTTGCCAAAAGTAACCCAGGCCACCATGACCATAGACTCCACATCAGAGATGTCAGTCTCCCAAGTGCTAGGATTATAGGTACGCACCACCACACGCCCAATCTCAATCGCTGTCTCGGTGAGTCTGGTGACGGGGCCAGCACAGCACACTGGGATCAAACCCGGTCCCTGGGTCTACTTAAGCAGGCCCTTTAATCTGCTGAGCTCTCTGGCCAGCCCTTGAAAACTAGTGATTTTTAAATTGCTGAGGAGCAAGTGAAGCTAAAGGGACCCTTTGAAGTTTATTTTTAGTAACAATTTCTCATTCCATACAAACATTGTACTTCTGTGGTTTGATCAGGGTCTGGTGGCAGGTTTATTGAAGCATGGCATGCTACAAATAGTTTACTCTGTCCAAAGGCTTATTTTGTAATGCCAGCCATCTGGCCTAACACTGAGCCACCATGGTCCCTAACTGTCTCTTACACAAACTGGAATGGCTCTTGATGTTCCAGGGGAAAAACTGGGAGAGGATGAAGAAATAAAGATAAGAGATGAAAGCTGAGGTCACATAGAGTCCTCATTTGCTGGGAGGAAAAGAACTGCCCAAGCACTGCAGAGTATTTATACACTCAGGAGGTTGATGTCAATTTGACCCTTTCTGCCTAGCAACCTGTTTGCAAGCTGAAACAGCTTGTTTACATAGTCCAGGAGCTCTCAGCGTTCTCCAGGCTGGTTTTTTCCTATCCCCACACCTGACTGATTTCCAGCTTCAGCCACTCCCTACATCTCTGCCCTTTCTGTTTTGTAAGCAATGGGTGGTTAGTTGAAATTGGAGGACCTGTGTTTGGAGAGCTCTGTAGAAGTCCTTTCTCATTGTTGTTGTGGTTGTTTTTAAAGTCCAGGTATACTTTCACATACAAAGGCAGTTTTTCCCAGGAGGAATTTACAGGAAGTGGTCTAGGTTGGGCTGAATAAGATGAGGTTGTCCATGATGGTTGCTGGGTCAAACTGAAGAAAAAAATATTTTAAGGTAGCAGTCTCATTGCTATTTGTTTCTCAATAAAATTATTTTAAAAAAAAAAAAAAAAGGTAGCAGCCTGGTTTTCACAATAATAACAGTAATTGGGTGCACTGAATATGGTAACCACATTCCAGTGATGATACCAATTGCATCCCTCCATTACTAGCTAGTGGGCTATAGAAACTAGTATGAGACCATTGGCATGGCTAAATGTTTCAGAAATAGTCCTGTCCAAATATGTAGCCAGTACTGTGATAAAATCAGCATGGTATTGGCATCAAAATAGACCTGAGGATCAATGGAATAGATTGGAAGACACCGAAGCCCCTATGAACACA